TGGTGCTGTCAACCCCTCTCATAGTGTCCAATCCACAGGTAAGAAATGGGACTTAAAGACTTGTTGAATGAGACAATGTCTAGAAGTCTGTCATGGGTGGCTTTATTACTTTAAGATCGTAAATAATAATATTAACAGCTACTTAGCTTCCAAAGAGTCTATATGCCACCAAGTACATGGGGATATGCTTTGGTCCAGTGTCACTGAATTTCTACACAATGTATAGCTAGTTGACTGATTGGAGCATCTTGCTAAGTCAGGGAAATTTGCAGATGTGAGCTCTCCATGAATTCTTAGCATGAGTCTGCCGAATGGACATGAACAGCTTTCCAAAGGAATGGCAGATTAATGTACAGCCACAAAAGAAACCTGACAAACTATTTACCTTGTCCTCAGGAGGCCAGTTCCGTGCTCTGGAGCTGTGTGGAGTTGAGGGGAGGGTGCTATTGGCATTCACTGTGAGCATGGTTATAAGAGAGCTCCTACAAGGAACGGGGCAGTCTGCACAGCAAAGACTTGCTTTCTATCAGCAAGACTTTGAAGTATCCACCAGCACCCCCCTGACCCCGCCTTTTTTTTTTTTGCATATGTCCATAGTTCCTTCTTTTAATTACTGCGTACTATTCCATTGTAGAAATACACTAAATTTTTCTAGACTTGTATTGATAGACTTCCTGGGTAGTGTCCAGATTTTAGTTGGCCTAGAAAAAGCTGCTAAGAACATTCTGTGTGGCCTTTTGAGGGACCTATGCTTTCATTTTCCTAGGAGTGGAATTCCTAGTTTCTAAGATAGATACAGGTTCAACTTTTTTTTTTTTCCTTTACTGTTGTGCTGGGTAGGGGTACACTGTGGTATTTGCATTTACAAAGGTTCTTATAATGTATCAAATATATCAAACTTGAACTCCCCCCCTCCACCACTCTCCTTTATTCCTCCCTCCCCTGATTCTTGGAACAGTTTCAACAGGTATCATTTTTGCATTTACATACATGTGTATACATTGTTTGCACTCTACTCATCCTCCTACCCCTTTCCCTGCCACCTCCCTGCTCCCACTGGTGCCAACCTTCCCCCATGCCCCAGAACCTGTTCCACCCTCCTCAGATTTTATAGAAGAGAAAAGGTAAAAGATAAAAATAAAAACATGATGGTTTTGCTCATTTGAGATAAAGATAGGTACACTTGAAGATTCCTTGTGTTACTTCCATGTATATGTGTATATATTACAACCCCAATTGGTTCATCTCTTCCAGTCTTCTTCACTCCTCCCTAGTCCCCTTCCCATGGTGGCCCCAGCCAGTTTAAGATTTCTATTTTCATTCCTGTCCAGTGAGCTCATCAACTTCATTCAAGTGTTTAGTTTCCTTCCCTTGCCCTATCCCTCCCGTGAGTGGCCTTCCCTTACGGTGACCCGTGTCTCATAAAATTGCTGCATTTGTTTTAGGTCTACAATCCGCATATGAGGGAGAACATGCGGGTTTTGGCCTTCTGAGCCTGGCTAACTTTGCTTAAGATGACCTCCAGTTCCATCCATTTACCTGTAAATAGCACAATTTCATTCTCCTTTGTGGCTGAGTAAAATTCCATTGTATGTAAATACCACATTTTGTTAATCCATTGTCAGTATCCATTGGCAGTAGTGAGGCAAAGAAAAGAATATGCAAAACCTCAGCAACTTTTTTTTTTTTTTTCAGTGCTGGGGTTTGAATTCAGGGCCCACACCTCGAGACACTCCACCAGCTTGTTTTTGCAATGGGTTTTTTTCAAGATAGAGGTCTCACAAACTGTTTGCCTGGGCTGGCTTCCAACTAGGATCCCCCTGATCTCTGCTTCTTGAATAACTAGGATTACAGACATGAGCCACAGGCACCCAACTATGTTCAACTTTTTAAGGAACTTCCAGTTTTGAAAATGTTTGACATTTTACATTCCCATAATCAATGTATAAAAGTTCCAGTCGTTCTACATTCTCTCCACATTGGTCTTATCTTTCTCTTTACATTTTAGCCATTCTAGTATAGTTATAATAGTATCTCATTGTGGTTTTAACTTGCTTATTGTCTATTTTGTACAAATAATTTTGTGAATGTCTTTCCAGATCCTTTTACCTTTTTTTAAAAAAAAAAAAAACCCATACTAGGGTTTGAATTTAGGACTTTACCACTTAAGCCAAGACTCCAGTCCTGATTATATTGTGTGTCTGGGATGACAGACACACACCACCGTGCCCAGCTATTGGTTGAGATGGGATTTAGTGATCTTTTTGTCTGGTGTTGGTCTTAAACCCTGATCCTCCTAATCTCAACCTCCCAAGAAGCTAGGATTGCAGGTATAAGTCACCAGTGTCTGCCTCTTTTTTCCCATTTTTAACTGGGTTGTCTTTTTACTATTGAGTTTTAGGAGCCTTTTCTACATTATGGATGCAAGTTCTTTGTCAGATATAATGTGTTACAAATATTTTCTTCCAATTTATGCCTTGCATATTTATTTTCTTGATCTCTTTTTGATGAGTCAGAGTTTCCAATTTTGATGGAGTCAAATTTGTCCATTTTTATTGTGTTTTATAAGTACTCTTTAAGAAATCTTTGTCTTCTGCAAGATCATGAAGCTATTCTCTGATATTTTTGTTATGATTTGAACATGAGATGCCCCTCACAAGCACCTGTGTCGAACACTTGGTCCCCATCTAGTGGTGCTATTTTGGGAGGTTCTGGAAACTTTAGGAGGTCCTTCCACTCCTATCAGTGGAGAAACTGAATCCTGCTTTACTGTGTAAGGTTTTTTTCTTTCTTTTTTGCACTGCTTTAGTTTACTGCTCTGTTTCATTAGAGCACTGCACTGACTTTTTTAAATGATGAGTATTGTGATGTATAGTATCTATGAATTTCATTTATGGCAGTGAAGGGATGTTACAAAATATTTGCTCTATTTAAATCTCATTGAGTACAGCAGGGCTAAGAATCACTGCCTTGGAGGCTGGGACTTCTGCTTTTAAAATCTCCACTGGATTTTAAAACCTGAGCCATCAAAATCTCAAAGTAGAGTGGAGTATGGTGTTGAGCACCTGTAACCCCAGCACTCAGGATGCTAAGGCAGAAGGATGAGTCCGAGGCCAACCTGCACTATATAGCAGAACCCTGTCTCAAAAGAAATCAGTCTGGAAGCAGGTGTTCCCTGATGTTTGAATCTCCTTTTACATATTAACTCCAGTACTGGGGGGCTATGGGCAAGTTTCTGCATTCTTCTGTGCCTCAGTTTCCAAATCTGTAAAATAGGAAATATTGTACCTCCCGTTAGGGGTTTGTTTGGAGGATGGAGTGAGTTAATGCTTGCAAGTACTTAGCAGAATGCTTGGCTCCTAATAAGAGCTCCATGAAGGTTAACTTGGAACTATAAAAGAAGCAGTATAAAGCAAATGTGAGTAAAACCATTTGGACGACACAGGACTGTGCTTTAGATCATGCTCACAAATGCTCATCCTTTTATATTCATCTGTTAGGTTATTTGGAGGAATCTGGGGTGCCTGGAATTCAACCACTTTTAGGTATGGAAGAAAGCAGGAAGTTAGAAGTCAGCGCCCCCTGACTTCCCGACAAAGGCGGAACAGGACGTCTTTGAACTGGTTTCCTCAACTGGAAATCAACTTTCTTAGGTCAGAATTCTACATCTAATTAGTTTTGAAAAGAACCACTGAGGGTGACATATGGCATAAATTCATAAAAAGTAGGCTCTCAAACCATACCAGCAGGGGTAAGTAACAAAAGTAAAGAAGATGGGCCCGTTGGGGAAACTAGACAGGAGACTGGCAAAAAGCAGGCGTCCGGTCTGAGGAGGTTGGCCTGACCCTATAGCTGTGCACGACTCATGGTGTCACATCTTCTATATGTTAGGAGAAGTCAGTAATCTAGATTCTTAGGAGAAATGTGCAGAGGTTTAAACTCTCCCAAATGACACATCTGAGACCTCTATAAAAAATGCTAAGTCCTTTGCTGCTTTCACAAGCCCTGATGCAGAAAATATTTCCTTTAATTTCAAAAAATGATGTGTTAAGTAAAGCTACTTCCCTTTATTGAATAGCAAAGAATTATCAAGGAGATAAAATAAAATTTATTTTAAAGTTTGATTTAAAATATCAAACAATTAATGAAAACATAGAGCACTTTATTTATTCTAACCCAGCAGGAGACATGCCCAAGTATGTAGCCATCAGACGTGGAATTCAGTGGCCTTGTGATGTGTGGCATTAGCAGATTACACCAATAGCTGGACTTGGAACTCCACAGTTATCATTAACATAAAAATTACAGTGTGACTACTAAATAATTAGTATTGTCAGTGTTGTAAATACATTAAATTACAAATCTTTACATTTATACATAAGTCATTGTACAAATAAATGATTTAAGATCCAATTATCCAACTTTCATTTAATCACTAAATGTTGCTGAACAAAAAGTCTGCAATAAATATTCCCTCAAGGTGAGTGGAGAAAGTGATTTGACATAGAATCTGCATTACAATGAATGTCTAAGTAGATATTTAAAACTTTAAATGTACCACATGGTTACTGAAACCTTGTATTCTGAAAGAAAAATCTCTTATATTTTAAACAAAATTTAGTTATTAATTTAAAAAGTAAATGTTCTCATCATGCTAATATTATTTATGGTTAGGTTACTCCCCAAATTATAAATACATGGTTCACTGACCCCTCAAGTTCACTTAATAGTTAATTTTTTAAAGTAAGCCTTTTTCCTTCCATATGTGCATATATTTGTATTACAATTCATTAGTCACAAGGAAAAGGAACTTGTAACCCTTTTCTAAGCAGTATAACTGAATTGTTCATAAAACATTGTCAGTCAATTTGTAACCTAGAAGTCAAAATGCTGCATATTTTAAATAAAAACAGCATAACTTGTAATTGTCACCATGTTTGCACAGCCAGACCTTCTGTAATTGGAGCCAGGAACATTAAGACTAGAAATTAAGCAGTTGTGCTCCATTTGTCTGCCATTTTACTACGCGATAAATTCGTGACTGTGGTCTGTCAACTGGAACTGAAGTCCGGACAGCTCTTCCCAGGTAGCGGGGGCTCCTGCTGGAGGGGGTAAGCGAAATATTGGGGTGACACCAGAAAACCAGAAGGCTGAGTCAGGTGTATAGGGTGGCCCGTGGTGTAAGGCGGGGGTGGTGAGGGTACCATGCAGCTTGGCTCAGCCCTGGCAAAGGAGAACCTGCGAATGGAACCACCTGTAGAGCTGGAGCTGGTAGCAGTGCTGGACTGCCTAGACGGTGCTCTGAGGTTTGTGGACGTCAAGATCATAGGCAAAGTCTCTGTCTGATAGCTGCGAAGCGAGAAACGGATTGGCTGCTGTGAGGGTTCCTTGGGTCTCAAACAGGTGCAACAATAAATAGCCACTAAAGAGCCCAGGATGATGAAAGCAATGAAGATGGAGCCCACGATCAGGAAGGGAACATAGACAGGCTCTGAAAGGAAAAAATCAGACAGTCACAGTCCCTTCTTGGGCAGCTTAGAGCTGTTGTCAGCTCAGCTTTTCAGAGCAGGTTACTGGTAACCTCCAAACTGCAAAGTGTGATGGCTGAAAATTCTTGCTACTCTTAGCAAGGAGGAAGCAAACTGATACTGTAACCTCTGTTAGTCATCACACTGCACATCTGGAAGTCAGAAAAGAACAGGATCTCTTCTCCTGTTCATGCACTGCTGGGGAAGGGTGAGTTTGGGGGTCACATAACTAGGTTTAAATCCAGGCTTTAGTAGTTTTATCATTCTGGGTCACTCAGGACTCTGGCCATCTGTTAAGCTGACAATCCATCTCTGGTCCAAGAATATTCCATCTAAGCAAAGAGAATCGGGCCTACTAAATGAGACCTCCAGGATTTTATAAGGCTCTAGAAAGAGCCATATAAAGAAATCCATAGTGGCTCCCAATTTACAGTGTCACCTGTTGCGTCAAATTGTCAGCTCTGGCTGCTTCTTTCCAGAAACAATTTGGGATGTTAATCTAGCTGCCACCTCTGTCTCTCCATTCCCACCCAAAGTCAGCAAGGTCAGGCTGAACTTTACACAGACAGTGGTGCAGTTCTTGCTGTTTCTAAGAGCATCCCTGAGACAGAGCAAATCAGTTTCTTTCTCACTCTACACAAGGCAGACATAAAACCTCCCACCCCAGAGGTCTGCTGGGCAGTTTTCCAGTTCTCTTTCCTGTCTGATAGGACCACACTGGGATGCAGTCTCCAGCTTGGAGGTAGCAGACAGAAAGCCTGCATTGGTTAAGGCCCTACTGTGTGCCTGGCTTTCTTTCTCTTTATCCAATTCAAGTCTCATAGAGTTCCTATGCGATGGACAAGCTCTTTTTTCCAGATGTGGACATCAGAGGGGTGGGGGGGGTGACGAGTTTAACTCAGGGCTTCTCATTTACAAAGCAGGCAATCTACCATGTGAGCCACACGTTTCAAAATGAACTTGAGTTCATTTGTGCTCTGGTTATTTTGGAGATGGGGTCTGCAAACTATTTGCCTGTGCTTGCCTCAAACCCAGATCCTCCTGATCTCAGCCTCCCAAGGAGCTAGGATTACGGGGGGCTTGAGCTATCAGAGTTTTTGACTTTCCCAAAGACACAGGCAGCGAGTGACAGGCAACTATCAACCACCTGTGGGCTCCTAGACCTAAGGTAGGTAGTGTCCCACTCAAGGACACACTCAAGGTGAAGGTGGACCACACTAAGCACTCACACTCATTTAATCAGCTAACTCCTCAAAGACCAATATGCCCCTAATTCATTTTTTAAATTTTTTATTAGCATAAATTAACAATATGCCCATTTTAGAATTCATAAGAGGCCAGGCTGATTAAGTAACGCATGGGAGATTACAACACTGGCCAGCGACAAAGCCACTGTCCATCACGGTTGCTCGATCCCAGGCTCAGTGAGTGGGTAAACTGCTCCTGTCCTTGGGCATCAGAGCAGGAAGGAGGCCCATTTTCTCTGCAGAGAGGAGCCTGGTCCACAGGGCGAGTGGAGGGAAGCCGCTAGGAAGTCTATTTTTCCCCTCAGGGGTGGTCCACTGAGCATCATTTCTCCAAAACTACCTCTCAAATCCTCTAGATTGGAGATTTTTTAACCTCCATAATTAAATCCCCAGAAGGTCTAATGGAATACTGAGGAAGGGCAGAACCCCTTCCCTGGATTATCAGTTTAGGGGAAGGAGGTTCAGGCATCATTAGTGATCTCTCCAGCCTCTCCCGGCCTTCTCCCCCTCATTCCTCTCCTTCTCTAGCCAACTGCAAGCCTCCATCCGAGTCCTAGGGAGTCACTGGCTCTCAGTCCGCCTGCTTCTCCGGTTTCTCGGCGGTAAAACCATCGCCTCCAGCGCCAAAGGTTTCCCTGGTGTTCCGAGTCAGGTGGAAAACTTTTTCAAGGTGTAAATGTCCTCTGCTGGAGTCGTGATTTATTCAGCTATTAAGTGAGCGGAAATTTGACCCGTGTTTTCCGACGTGAGAATAGGGGGCGAGGAAGCCCCGGCGACCCTGATTTCTAAATTTCCAACTGGAAGACCTGGGTATTCCCGAAAGGCGTGACAATGGGGGGTGGGTCGGAGAGAGTAATTCGATGCACAGAAAATAAAGGAAATCGGAAGAATGGAGCAGCGTCTTAGAAACGATACCAAAGGACCAGAAAAAAAAAAAAAAAAAAGACTTAAGTTCCTAGCCCTGTGCGGCAGAGAAGCGCTCCTGACAAAGAGGCGCGATCCCCCGCCACCGGCCACCTGCACTTCCCCAGCTCCCGAAGTAACCAGGGAGCGCAATGGGGCGTCCCCCAAAAAACCTAGCCTAGAGTGGCGATGTCCCCACGGAGCTTCCCTCGGGAGCGCCAGCTGTCTTCCCCAGAGCCACCAGGTGCAAGCCCTACGATCTTAGCAGTCCTTTGCCCACTTTCCCTGGGGCCACCCGGCAGAGACCGCGTGTGACGGTCGGGGAGCCACACTGCGAAGGAATAGGGCCCTTGACCTAAAATGCGACCACCCACAGTTCCCGAGCTCCCTCCCCAGCTGCGTCCCCTCGCGCACCCGCGAGGACGTGCTTCCGACCCCGCACTTACGCGCGGTGATGCCCGGGTGCTCCAGCTCGCCGCGGTCGTTGGTGCAGCCGCCCTGCTCCAGCCTGGCGTCGGCCGCCGCGCAGCAGTAGCGAAGAGCGCAGGACCCGCAGCAGATGGTGGCGTCCAGCGTGTCGAAGTCCTCCGGGCACTGGAAGCCCTCGTGGTAGTTACCCTGAACATCCACCCATCCATGGCAGTACTCCCCGGGCTGCTGCGCGCTTGCGGGGCCCCAGCGCAGCCAGCCGGCGAGGAGGCAAAGCGCCAGCAGCGCCCCCATCGTGGCGGGGAACCCCGGGCGGGGACGGGCTGGCGGCGGGACAGCGAAGGGCTGTGCCCGGGCACCGGGGCACCGCGGTTCCGCCTTCCCCGGGGCGCGAGCGGCGCGGGCGTTAACAGGGGCCGAGGAGGCGGCGGGCGCTGCGCTGCGGGCTCGGCAGGCCGGGGGTCAGCATGGTGCGCGGAGCCGGGTGGGCGAAGGCACGCGGGAGGCCGCCGCGGAGCTGCTGTCGGGGCTGCTGCTGCCGCCCTGTGCCCCGATCATTGCGCTCCGGGCGCCAGGGGCGAGCCAAGTGCCCGGCCACCTCCCTCCCCACTCCTCTCTGGGGCCATCGCCAGGACCACGCAACGTCCGACTCTGGGCTGCCGCCGGGTTCCAAGCGGAGCCCAAAGGAAGAATTCACCCCCCGCGTGCCGATCGCCGGGACGAGCGGCTACTCAGCCCTGCCCCGGTCTGTCATGGGAGCAGGAGGCACCCCTGCAGCGGCCAAGTACAAATGGCCTCAGGGCTGCTACAGCTCTGCCTGCAAGGCGTCCCTTAAAAAAGACGAGGGAGGAGGAGACGCGAGAGGAGAGAGTCCGCCCTCCAGGGTCCCGCCGCGCCGAGCTAATCACAGCGGGCGGGCGCGGTGCGGGTCCCCGCGCTCCCGGGTTCGAGCGCCATCTCCCTGCCACCTCCGCCCATTGCGCACCCCCTCCCCACCCTCGCACTGGGCTCCAGCCGGAGGGGGTCAGCCCCCGCCCCGCAGCCTAGTTCCCGCAGGATGAAGTTGAGATTCAGGGCTGCCGGGTTCCTGCGTCTATCCACGCGCGCAGGCTCGCGAGTGGAGACGCTGACTTGACTTTTATGGATTTAATTTTAAAAACCAGCGCGGTGCTGAAGTTTATGGAGCCGTCGGTCTTCTGTTGCCCAGAGCCGAATTCGTTCCTGGAACACCGATTCTGAAGGTTCGGTTCGGATAGCAAGATTTTTAGGGGTCACCAACATTTGCACCAGAATCTCCTCTTTTCCTGAAGCACACACAACACACCCTCGCGCCTTCCCCAACCCCTGAGCCGGCGCCGCGGGGTGAAGATTCGTGTCACCTCCACCCGCCAAGGCCAGCTTGCAAACCTCAAAGAGCACGCACGACTTCTGCGTTCGTTCGCGCCCTTAAAGGAAATAAAAGAACAAAATTAATGATAATTGAGCACATCTGAACTTTGTTCGGGCAAAGAAACACATTTATTTAAATGATGTGTCCCCTGGGTGCTGTTTTCGGGGCACTGCTCCTTTGGAGGCGTAAGTGCCTTGTGGAACGGTGTTATGTGAAACCTGGGCTAAGTCAAGAATTTATTTTTACTGCATCCTGAACTTCCTCTCGTCGGGTATTGGTATGTGTGATTATGTCCCTCGTATCTCCACCGATTTGTCAAACACGCTGAATGCCCGTGTCGTTGATTTAAATGTTGGCAAGTTGAGCGAAACAAAAGGGACGAAGTGCTGAGACCCGCAGCACAAGTGTGCGGTCAAAAGTATTTGTCACATCCGAAGCTTCCGATGGCCCCAGGTGCTTCTAGAAAAAAACTTTAAAACTTTTTTAAAATCTAAATTAAAGTACACTCCAAGTAAAGAATTACTTCTGACTTCTAATCCTAAATGTTGAAATTGTCATTTAATTATAAATCTATAAAAATAAAGATCCAACGTTCCACATGTTAAGCGGGACTGTGAAGATATTTAAGTTTAGGCTCTCTTAAAAATAGATATTTCTTGGGGAAATAATAAGCTGTAAAGTAAAACCAAACTAAGTTTGGGCAAACGAATAATGGGACAGTTTTTCTTGACGTAAAGAATTTAAGCATTTGGGAAACTTTTTTTTCAGAAAACAATTTTTATTTACAAAAATATGTTCTTGCATGTCTTAAAAGTTGCTTTTTAAAAAGTCTAGATTTTTTTTAGTTGTTTGGATTGTTAATATATCCTGAGAAATGAAGGGGAGAAGTCATCTGAGCCCCAGCAAAAGTGAGATATCACGATCCTAATAAGATGATAAAACTCAAACTTACATTCACTGCTAATAACTTTCCCAGAGCCACGCCTCTTCATGGGAGTTTGTTAAGATTTAAGAGGATTACATTACACTGCAAGTGCGAACACTTGTAGGCAGCACCAGCGACCTGCCCTGCGCTAGTCCCCAAGGGTCGGGTTTCTCTCATTATCCAGCTGTTCTTTGATAGCATTAATATTTTAAGGAGTGATTTGTTAGGCTTACCTCCCATTAATTACATTCTCGATGTCACAGTGGGACTCTTTTCCTTAGAACACCAGCAATAATTAATTTCCTCATTCAAAGCTCCTGTCTGTTTGACTTATTTAGTGGGCATTTTACAAAAATTTAGCTGGAGGATATTTTCTAATGGAAAATAACCAGATCTCCAAATTACTCGATACTCCATAGATCTGACAGGTGTGAACATGAAAACAACTGTATATGGTGCTTTCCTATCTAGGTCCTGATTGTGTAGGGGGGGAGGGTGGAATATGTGTCTGGTTTCCTCAAACTTTGCATTGACAAATTTTGACTTCAAAAATGATCCTCTAAGAATATTCTTTGTCATCAATAATAGTATAACACCTAGACTTATCTTATTCTGTTACTATTTTAATAGTAAAGGAACATTTGAAAGTCCTCAGAACCCCTCCCCAAAGACTTTAGGAGGGGTCATGGAGGTAGAAGATAAAATCTATAATAGCTGGGGTATTATGTAGAGGTTTTAGAAATGTCATATTTTTCCTTATCTCAGTAACATGAATTCCATATTTTGGTAAAGAACACTCACAAGGGATCATTTGCCAGGCCTGCACTCTCTTGTGGCCCTGCTTCCAAAAGTTCTGTAGGAAACCAGTTAAATGATCTGATGTCTGGGATTCGCTTTAATAAGAGAGAGGAAAAAAGAGGAAGAACAGAGGTAGGGAGGAAAGGAGGAAAAAGACAAGAAATGGAGATGAGAAGATGACACAGATAAAAATGAAGCCCAGCTGGCAACATGTTGGTAACTGTAGCTGGGCAGACGGAACTTGTATATTGGAAATGCAATTCCATTCTATGTAGGAATAAAACTTGTAGAGTTTTTTGATGGTGCTCGGGTTTGAACCCAGGGCCTTGCAAGATGCTAAATACAAGCTCCACCACTGAGCTGCAACCGTTAACCCCTTAAGTTTTTGCTTAATCAACGGGAATGAGTAACATAAACTCATAAAATAGGCACTGAGCCATATTTTTAGGCTTCATTCCATTCACTTCTCTGTGTTTTATATTCCTCGGAGCATAGTGAGTGATTTGAGTAAAGCAAAAACAGAGAAAAAAAAAAGACCGGACAACATGGATACATCAGAAAGGACTGGAAACCAAAATATACTAAGGAAAGGGGGAAATTAGACCAAAGACATGCCTTTAAAAAGATAGGGGACAATTCACTTGGAGTAGGGAAGACCCTGCAGCTCATTTGCATTGAGTCCAAAAACAAAGTGAAAAGCAGAAAAGCTTCCCAACCCTCTTCAATTCTTCCCTGGAGGTTTATCCTCACTCTTTCCCTTAGTTACTCACTTTCCCTTAGTTACTGGGCCAGTGGAATTCCTTGCTTTGGGTCCCTCCCTATAAATCTCTGATTCCATGCCCCTGTTGATCGGAGTTACTTGAAAGGTATTTTTTTTCTCAAATTTCCTTTAGCAAATATTCACCACTATGTAGAACAGTGAGGTGCCCAGAAGTGTGGGCAACCCTGGCCCTGCCAGGCCCTTCCTCCTGCCCTGAGTTCACTATCTTCACTATAAAAATAGGAGGTTACACACACGGTCCTGAGAGTGTGCACACCAGATTCTCCCAGGCAGGACTCTTGGCGATCACAAGTTTTGATGCATAGCATCAATGAGCTCCCTGCTAGGAAGCAATGCTGAGGCTGCTGGGTTGAGGACCCTCCTTTGAGCCCCTCTGGCTTTCCTCTGCCCTTTCTGAACCCCTGACCAGGATCCCAGCACTTACTACTCCAAAAGACTTCTAAAAGCCCAAACTCTTCCTGGTTGCAAGAGGCTCTCAGGAGCCATGGTTAGAAATTGATACATGCAAACGTGGGTGTTCAAGCACGTATATGAGAGGCCCCCTGCAGCACAGGATGGATTTCAGGCTGGCGGCTTCTGTGTCTTTCTTTTGCACTGGCTTGCAAATGTTCAAGTATGTACATTGCCTAGTACATGGTAGAGACATCATAAATAGGAAATAAATGAGTTACTAAATAAATGACTGCTTTCCTTCAGAAATTCTGTGGCACTTTCTCCACACTGTAATTCTGGGTTAGAGCATCTGTCTTCCCCATTAATCTGACCTCCTTTTTCCTTACTGCATTCCAGGACCTAGCAGAGTGGCTGGCACGTAGTCAGTGCTTTGTAAATGTTGAATAAATGACTGACTGCAAACAATGCACAGCTGGTTGAAAACATGTCGCAACTGAGTGATGTGGCTTTACAGCTGCACAGAACTGCAGAGAGGAAAGCAGGATGGATTTCCAGGTCCAGGGATATAGGTATAGGAGAGTCAACTTGGGAATTTGGTTAAAATGCCCTGTGTGACAGCACTGTCAGGGCAGTAATCAGCTTATCCCCCATGCAGATGGTGGTGACATGTGCAAAAGTATAGGCCTATGATGCAGAGAAAAATTGGCTGGCACAGTCAAAAAATACTCCCATTTTTTGAGGGGTGGGCAGTACTGAGGTTTTGAACTCAGGGCCTTGCACTTGATAGGCAAGTGCTCTACTATTTGGACCAGCACTTTTTACTTTAGTTATTTTTCAGATAGGGTCTTGCACTGTTTGCCTGGGGCCAGCCTTGGACAAGGATCCTCTTACCTCTGCCTCCTACCTATCTGAGATTACAAGCATGAGCCACCTTACCTGGCTTGTTCTTTAAAATAGAGTCTACAGATTCTTTTTGCCCAGGCTGGCCTCAAATTGTGGTCCTCCCAATCTCTGCCTCCCTAGTAGCTAGGATTATAAGCATGAGCCACTGTACC